CTTTGAGACAGCAGGGACCTACACTGAAAAGGGGCTCCAGAAATTTGCACTGCCTTGATTGTGTGTGTGTGTTGTGTGTGTGTGTGTGTGTGTTGTTGTGTGTGTGTGTGTGTGTGTGTGTGTGTGTGTGTGTGTTTACTGTGAAACTCTATTAGGCCAGGCAGGGAGCAACTAGCCAGTTAACAACAACAGCTGAATGAGTCCAGAGTTCACAAATCATTCCACTTAATCACTAAAAGAATTCTGAAGGAAGCCTTAGAGTTATTCTAAACTGGATCTAACAAATAAAAGAAAGTCTCAAAAAACCAAACTGAACTGAGGGTTAGTTAATATCTTATCAGAACAAAACTCAATCCTCCAGACAGAAAACAACAAAACAAAAACTGAACAATGTAGCATTCACAAAGTTGAGCATACAATCTGAACTAGTTAATGAAAACAGTTATTAAAGTAATACATTATGGAATTTGCAAAAACATTTAAAAGCTGTTATCTCCAGCATTTAAAGGAAACCATAATGGGATGAAAGGAAGAGTAAGTTCTTCGAGTAGAAAGAAAATATACCAGATAGAATTTTGTATCTGCAAAAGGAAGGGAGACCAATGGAAAAAACCATCAAAGAGGTTGTGGAAAATGTGATAGAAAGAGACCGGAATTTTCCCACAAGCTTTTTGAAGCCACTTTGCATGAGGTACATAAAAAGACTACTTATGCTATTAAAAATGTAAAGATAACTGACCATTTAAAGCAAAAAATTAAAATGTTGGTGTTTATATGTAGAAATAAAGCATAATAAAAATCACACAGTACAGGGAAGAAATGGAAGTATATTTTCCAGAGATTTTTACATTATGTATGAAGTAATGTAATGTCACTGTAGTAATTTAAAATGACGCTATTGTTAAGCCCTCCAGTAACTGCTTAGATAATTAAAAGAGATAGTGCAGTCGAATCAATTATGACGTATAAAAGACCATAATGTGCATAAAGTTGAACTGCTCCATAAAGCTTTCAGACTGTACTCTTTTGACCACAGTAGATTGCTAATCCTCCTCCTAAAGAGCCAATGCACCACTAAACACACACACATACACACCGTCATTCTCCCGAGGAACACTACTGGGTTTGAATTACTGACCTTGAGGTCAGCAGCCCAATGCCCAGCCCACGGTGCCACCAAAGTTTTTTGTATCACCACTATTTAGCAGAGATAAAACAGATTAAGAGGTAGAATTGAACAAAAAACGTATGGGGTGAATAAGAAGGTGGGGAATTTAAATGCAACGATACCAATATTACAGTAAGTGTAAAGAACTTAAAAATCCAATTAAAAAGCAGAGATTGTCAGAGTGGAATAAGAATAAAACCTAACTATATTCTGCCTATAAGAAATCCACTATAAATCAATTGTACAAAGGCACAGATGATGAAAACTTACTACAACAGGAAATATACAACACACTCAAGTGACTATACTAATAATAAAATGAGGGGGATGTGTCCAAATAATAAAAGCTATCAATTCATCAAGTAGACATGATGTGTTCTTAGGTACCATCCAGTGTATTCTGACTCACAGCATCCCGATGCATCATGTTAAGAGCAGCGGGTCTCAATCTTCCTCATGCCACAACCCTTTCATACAGTTCCTCGTGTTGTGGTGACCCCCCCAACCATAAAATTATTTTCATTGCTACTTCATAACTGTAATTTTGCTACTGTTATGAACCGGGCGACCCCTGTGAAAGGGTCCTTCAACCCCCAAAGGGGTCGCAATCCACAGGTTGAGAACTATTGTGTTAAATGGAAAAAAGCTTGAAGATATCAAAACATTTTTTTTCTTAAATTCACAATCAGTGCTTATAAATGAAGCAGTCAAGAGATCAAAAGATGTATTGCATTAAATAAATCTGTTGAACAAGAGCTCTTCAGAATATTGAAAAGCAAAGATGTTATTTTGAGGAGTAAGATGCACTTGACCCAAGTCATGGTATTTTCCACTGCTTCATGCATGTGAAGGTTGGACATTGAATAAGGAAGACTGAAGAATTAATGCATTTGAATTGTGATGCCAGCAAAAAATACTGAAGTACCATGATTTGCTAAAAGGGCAAACAAATCTGTCTTGGAAGAAGTACGGACAGATTGCTCCTTAGAGTCAAGGATGGCAAGACTTCATCTTAAATACTTTGGACATGTTGTCAGGAGAGACAGGTCCCTGGAGAACATCATGTTTGATAAAATGGAGGGGCAGCAAAAGAGGGGATTACAGAACATCAGTGATAGCAAATGCAAGCAAGATTTTACTGAAGATTATTCAACAATGATGGTTCCAGCAGTGCACTGACAGAGAGTTGCCAGAATTTCAGGCAAGATTCAGAAGAGGGTGTGGATATCTGATGGATCTTAGCTGAATGCAGAGAATACTAGAAAGAGGTTACTTGTGTTTTATGAACTACGCCAAGGCATTCAACTGTATGGATCATAACAAACTATGGATAGCCTTGAGAAGAATGGGATTTTTTGATAACTTCCTTATGCTCATGCAGAACCTGTACATGGTCAAGAGCAGTTGTGCAAAAAGAACAAGAACATAATATATATATATTAAACCATAATATATATGTTCTAGTTTAAAATCAGGAAAAGTGTGCATCTCTCACCATGCTTATTTAAGCTGTATGTGGCGCAAATCATCAGAGATGCTGGATTATATGAAAATGAAGGCAGCATCAAGATTGGAGAAGGCTTATTAACAACCTGAGATATGCAGATGACGTAATCTTGCTTGCTGAAAGTGAGGAGGACTGGAAGCATTTGCTGACGAAGATAATGAGGATTGGAGTCGTCAGTATGGAGAGAAACTCAATATAAAGAATGTCAAAATCTTCACAACTGGACCAATAGGTACCATCATGAAAAATGAAGAAAAAATTTAAATTGTCAAGGATTTCATTTTGCTTAGATCCACAACCAATGCTAATGGAAACAGCAGTCAAGAAATCAAGCACTAGGTAAATCTGTTGCACAAGACCTCTTCAAAGTGTAGAAGAGCAAGGATGTTATTTTAAGGATGATTAAAGTGCACCTGACCTTAAACCAGTATATTTTCCTTATTTGATGTGAAAGTTGGACATTGAATAAAGAAAAATGACGAATCAATGCATTTTAATTATGGTGCTGGTTAAGAATATTGAAAGTACCACATACTGCCAAAAGAACAAAAAAATCTATTTTAGAAATACAGCCAGAATGCTCCTTCTAAGAAAGGATGGCAAGACTTTTCTCTCATGTACTCTGGACATATTATCGAGAGACCAGTCCCTGGAGATGGACAGCATGCTTGATAAAGTAAAGAGTCAGCAAAAAAGAGGAAGGACTTCTGCCAGATGGATTGACATAGTGGCTGCAACAAAGATCTCCAACATAAGAACAACTGTAAGCATGACCCATCGATGTTTTGTTGTTTTATACAGGGTCACTGTGAGTCAGATCCCACTCATTGGCACCTAACAACAACAACATGGCTTTTATCGAACTCTTTTACAAAAGAGCCAATTCAGCAAGCTACTAAGCAAGCAGGCAAAGACAGGAGAAAACAGGTGCCACAATACACGAGATCTCCAAGACTCAGAAGGTGAAGAAAGAAAAAGAGCTTCCCCCAGAAAGTCTTCCCCTTGAGCCAGCACCCTGAAAACATA